CACTATTTTCAAAGAATTTAAAACCATGGGAGAGAAGGAAACTAATTTGTCATTGTGTTATTTAAGAACATACAGAGGAGGAGAATTCAATTCAAATAAATTTTCAAACTTCTGTAAAGCTCAAGGAATCAAGCGACAATTGACCACAACTTATACACCTCAACAAAAAGGAGTCGCTGAGCGCAAGAATCGCACAATTATGAATATGGTACGCTACATATTGGAAGAGAAGAGACTGCCAAAAATGTTTTGGCCAGAAGCTGCAAAATGGGCCTACCATGTGCTCAACAGAAGCCCCACATATGTTGTAAAAGACAAGACACCAAAAAAGTGTTGGAGTGGTCTCAAGCCCAGCGTCGAGCATTTTAAAGTATTCGGATGTGTAGGAAATGTTCATGTACCAGAAGCTAGAAGACTCAAACTTGATGCTAGAAGCCAAAAGCAGGTATTCATTAGATACAGTGAGAAATCAAAAGGATGCAAAATGATAAATCCTTTAACTATGAAGGTAACAATCAGTTGAGATGTAATATTTGAGGAAGATGGCTGCTGGAATTAGGGGAGGACAAATGCAAAATCGAAAAGTGATGCACTTGATTGGGGTGAAGACTATGAGGAAGCACTTGAGGAATTAGATGAACATGAAGATGAAAATACCACGAGTGAATCAGAAGAAGAACACTTAGAAATTGAAGATTCCTCGTCAAATGAAGCAACAACTCCACCAACCTCAACAAAGAGAACAAGAAAGGCTTCAATCTACCTTCAAGACTATACAAATGGAGGTGAATTATCAGAAGATGAGGCACACAATTTTCTTATGTTTATGCCTACTGATCCAATTTATTATGAAGAAGCAGTAAAAGAGAAAAATTGGAGAGATGCCATGGACATGGAAATAGTAGCAATAAAAAAGAACCAAACCTGGGAGCTAGTTCAACCTCCCTCAGAAGCAAAAATAATAGGTGTAAAGGAGATCTACAGAACAAAGTTGGATGAAAATGGTGAAGTTAGAAAGTGCAAAGCTCGCTTGGTGGCCAAGGGTTATGCACAGGAGAAAGGTGTAGACTATGATGAAGTTTTTGCCCCGATTGCAAGATGGGATACCATCCGAATGGTGATAGCACTAGCATTAAGAAATGGCCGGAAACTCTATCAATTGGATGTCAAGAGTGCATTTTTGCACGGAGAACTGCTTGAGAATGTATATGTATCACAACCGCAAGGATATGAAGTAAAAGGGGAGGAAAGCAAAGTTTACAAACTGAAAAGGGCACTTTATGGGTTGAAGCAGGCTCCAAGAGCATGGTTCAACAGGATCGAAAGCTACTTCCTCAATGAAGGTTTCAAAAGGAGCTGCTATGAATACACTTTGTTCATCAAAGAAGAAAAATAGAAAATATTGATTGTAAGTTCTTATGTTGATGATCTTATTTTTACTGGTAATAATCTAATCATGATGCAAGGATTCAAAAATTCTATGAAAATAGAATTCAAGATGACTGGTCTAGGCAAAATGAAGTACTTCCTAGGAGTTGAAGTGCGTCAAAATGCAAGAGGAATACACATAAGCCAGAAGAAGTATGCAGGAGAAGTTCTCGAGAGATTTGGCATAGGAAATTGTAATGGAGTAAAAAATCCCATAGTCCCTGGGAGTATTAAGCTGTGAAGAGAAGAGGAAGGAAAACAAGTTGATGGAACTCTTTTCAAGTAGATGGTGGGGAGTTTGATGTATATGACAGCAACCAGGCCTGACCTAATGTACTATGTGTGTCTTATTAGTAGGTTCATGTCAAATCCAAAGGAAGCACACATGCCTGCAGCCAAAATTTTTTTAATGTATATTAAGTCAACAATTGATCTATGCATCTTCTACTAGAAAGGGTGCAAGGATGAGTTAGTAGCTTACATGGACAACGATTATGCCGGTGATATAAATGACCAGAAAAGTACCTCAGGCTATGAATTTATGTTAAGTGGTGGAGCTGTTGCATGGGCATCCAAGAAGCAGCCAGTAGTTACTCTTTCTACAACTGAGGCCGAATACGTAGCAACTGCATCTTGTGCTTGCCAGTGTATTTGGATGCAACACATTCTAAAACAAATTAAAGGTTCTCAATCTGATTGTGTTACAATGTTTTGCGACAATTCTTCTACCATTAAGCTTGCCAAAAATCCAGTTTTTCATGGGAGAAGCAAACACATAGATGTGAAATTTCATTTTCTGAGAAATCTAACTAAGGATGGAGCTGTTATTATGGAGTTCTGTAAAACAAATAATCAGCTTGCAGATATCATGACCAAGCCATTGAAGTTGGACCAATTTGAGAAAATTCGGAAGCAACTAAGAGTACAAGCAACAGAAGATTAAACTAAAATGCAGTAATACTTAGTTTAGGGGAGGAATTGTTGAAATATTAATATTTGTTTTAATTAGTATTTGAATTCTAGTCGGTTAATAAATTCCTAGTCAAAAGGAGTAGTTCTAGTAAGTCCTATTCTTTAGCATAGAGGGCTGGAAATTAGGAGTTTTAGTTTTATGCAGTTTTTTTTGTAAGGTTACTTATATAACCTCAACTTTCTGTTTTCATTATCGAGTAAAGTTTGCAACATCAATAAAGCTTGAGTTTGTTGTATTCTTACCTTGATCAACACACGCTTCATCATATTGCAGCCATCATGCTTCCTTCAATTGATGCATGCCCTGATATTATAATTGGTGTTGGGCAAGATGGGAAACCTTTTAGTGTGGAAACCATGTAACGTTTGATGGAGGATTGTGAGGGAAAAAAAAAAGCAGCAAGAATTGGAGAGATATATGGAAAATTCAAGCAATGGAACAGGTTCGACATTTTGTTTGAATTCTCCATCATGATAGATTGCTCACCAACAGTAGAAAGCATAGAATGGGCCTTGAAAATTTCATGTGTTCCATTTGCGACAATGTTGAAAAAGATACTCTCCATGTCCTTTATGATTGCTCGCGTGCAGTAACGATTTGGATGACATCAATTCATACTAAAAAGTGATTTAGTTTCTTTGTAGGTACCTTGAAAGAATGGATATCCTATAATATGAATAACAACTTGTGTGGAATACTGAGAAAGATTGAACGACTTTTTGGGCTACTGCGTGCCATAGCATTTGGACGTGGCATAATAATGAGACACATGATGGAAATTGCAATAAACCACCGTGCATGACAAGTCACATTACCAAGCTGGTCCATGACTACGACCTTGCAAAAACTACATCAAACATAAGCTTGAATACATATAGAGTCCAGAGTTCCATTAGGTGGGAAGCACTTTCAATGGACTGTGTTAAATTAAATACGGATGGAGCTAGAGACAAGGATGACAAAGCAAGTTGTGGTGGTATCATTAGAGGGAGCGATGACGAGTGGCTTTGAGACTTCTCCAAACATATTGGGATAAACAATGTTTATATAGCTGAACTTTTGGGTGTCTTGGAAGGCTTAAAGCCAGTCGTGACAATGGATTTTCAAAAAATTGTTATGGAAGTGGATTCTCTCTAAATGGTTAATGATATCAACTCTAACAATCATAACAATAGTACGGGAAAAAACTTGATCACTAAAGTCAGAGTTATAATGAATCAAGATATTAACGTTAAGATTCGACATTTTTATAAAAAAACAGACATATGCGATGATGCTTTAGCTAGAGATGGAAGATTGCAATCGCCTACTATATGCACATTTGAAGAGTGCCCTCCTTTTCTTAATTAAATTTTTGCTAGTGATTTGTGTAGCAATTCTATTTCCCATTTAATTCCGTTGTAGTTTTCTCTTCCGGGCTTAAGTCCTACCTCTTATAAAAAAAAATCATAATATTTTTAATGATATTATTGAATTTTCTAATCTATGTAAAATCTTAAGCAATATTTCATCTTTAAACATAGAAAGTAGGAGTCACTTGTTACTTGTTTTTGAGGCATGCTATGTTTACACCGTTTTATTACACCATATCCATTTACACCGTATACATACTCATGTTTTTGTACTGCATGAAAACTAAAGTGAAAAAATAAATTATTAAAAAAATGATTAGAGTACTTTTATGTATAATTTACGGTGTAAGTGTACAATTCAGTGTCAAATGAACATTTCTCCTTGTTTTTTCATATTTTCCAATATGAAAACGAATACTTTTGACTAAACCGAAGATTCGGAACCTTTCAACTAAAACAAAAATGTCTTGTCATAAAAAAAATAAAAATAAAATAATATTTTTTAAAAGTGGTCACAATACTTCCGCGTAGGTTTAAACATAGGAGAAATGAAAAAACCCAAAACAAATCACAAAAAGACAACGAGGAACAACCAATGGGAGAACCAGAAAAGTGTACATGGGTGGGTCCCATTGGACCGATCCCTATTCCTCGATTCATGTGGCTAAGGAAAGAGAATAGTACTTGAAAGTTGAAACAAAGAAGACAAAATAAACACTGTACAATAAACTCAATCAACGGTTAGATGGACTCTATACCCTCACTTCACCAGCTTCTCACCGTTGATTTACACACAGTAACACTTCTCCGTTTTCATTCTTCTTAAGCAATTCTTTTCTTCTTAGTTTGATTTTCCCTTCCCTTCTACTCGCTCAACTCAGACTTCGATTTTTTGACTCACTCTTTCACGAAGGTAATTTTGGAATTTTATCTGTTTAATTTTTGGACTATGTTTATATTTTGTTGAGTTACATGTTAGTTAGATCAGAGTGAAATCTTTCGATTTGAATTTAGCGTCTAAAAACATAGTCAGTGATGTATATTCTATGATTTAACAGTGATTTATGTGTTATGTGTTAGGTAGGTAAGAATATTCTGCATTTTGCATGTGACAGTGTTTAAGCACTTGTGATCTAGTTTTGCATGTGATGTTTTTTTTAATGGAAGCTAATAATTAAATGTGTGGGAAGTTCAGGTTTTGAAGACTCGTTTGAGTTGACTAAGTCTCTGAGATCAAGATAGCGACAATGCGTGAGGATGATGAGAAAGTGGATGCTCATGCAATGCTTGGCTATGGTCATGGTTATCTATTACCATGGATGGCTCATTGGAATCACACAAGTTACATGTCAGCAATAAATCCGGGATGGAATGGTTCGACGAGTGTTGGACCGGAGGTCAGATCAGATCGTTCCATGGATGTTGTTGGGGTGGTTGGAGAGGCAAATGGGGCCACAAGGGTTGGTTTTGGTTCCGAACCATCTCTTGTATCCGGTGTTTCTGAAAAATTGAAGGGAAGATCGTCATTTCAGAGAGAAGAAAAAAGTGTTTTCCGCAAGGTAGATGGAAAGTCTGGAACAGAATCATGCTCGGGCGATGACAAGGTTTCCCCCAGCAGAGTTAGGTTGCCATTAGTATCTGCTCCTCATAAAATAGAAACTTCAGTAGAAAAGTGTCAATTATTGTCTCAAAGAGTGCCGATGAGATCCTTGAGGGATACTGAACCGAAGAACTTAACTCTTTTGACACCGGTGAACAACTCGGTAAAATCAGCTTCTGACGTGGTACTCACAAATGTATATGACAAAGGAAAATCTGTGATGAATGAAGTTACAGGTGGACCGCGCGAAGTATATCCATCGAGCTACAGTTCTGCACCCCAAGAACATTACACAAGCACTAAATTTCATAGTTATTCTTCTCTAAGTGTCCCTGAGAAGCAGACGAGTAGCCGATTAGACCATCAAAGATATTCCCTATCAAGATTGATGCGAGGCAGCTTCACTCATTTTCCGCATGATCCCATAGCTGACAGTGATGATGACGGACACCATGTTGTTCGTAGTCAGCACCACAAGATTCAAAATTTAATTGCCAATCCAAACATTTCAAACCCGACTTCACTCTTGGAGTCAACTAATCCAAAAAATGTCTACTCTTCGGTAGAGAAAATGCCACAATCTGTTTATGGTGTGAAGGATGCAAGTAAATACACCAATGTAGATTCCGTAGAAGAATTATCAAGAGGTCTTCCCAACATTTCCCAAGCAACGCATTATTCTCTGATGTCAAAAATTCCCGGTGTTAATTTATCCGACAAAGGTCAGGTTTTTAGACAGTCAATGCCACTTACAAAATTCAAAGGAAATAATTTCAATAAGAACTTTGATTTATCTCTGAATCCACCCGCTAGTGATCATATTAAACTAGAAACTCTAGGGGGTTACGGAAAAAGTGAAGGGAAGGAAAGTATTTCCGATTTCAAATGTCCAACAAGCGTGACGAATGGATCAACTCCTGAACCTGACACTCTGGACATTGGTACTTTACATGAGAATAACAATCTTCCAGGTATATATGCACACTGTGAAAGGACATACCATATAATGCTATCCTTTAAGACTTTGTATTAGAAAATCTTTTGAGACGTATTGAGTTTGATTAGTACTTGTATACTATTTACTATTAACTATTCCATGATTTCAGTTGTTGAATGGTAGATTACTTATTTGTAAAACATGTTCTGCACAAGTTTGATGTTTTCAATGTTTTTTGTTGGAACTAATTGTGCTGCTTCCTACCTATTGCAGGCGAAGCTCCAATGCTGTCAAATAAGGTAATGTTTCCCATGTTTATTTCCCATCAGCACCATTGCATAAGCATTTAATTGATATTCATTGTTATCTAATTCTTATCTTTATACTACAAAACTAGCATTAATGACACATCTTCTTCATACATGGACATAAACTCTCACACAATTAGGTTCCATTAATATATTTTCTTTTATTACTATTCTCTAGAGTTTGTGTTAATTTTACGTGTTAACAAGGAGATACTATTCTAAACTTTGAGAGGTAAATCAAGCATGAATCAAGAATGATTAAAATATAAATTTTGTAGTGCTCCAAGGATAGTCAAAACTCACTCTCGACTCTAGGCGCAACAACTTCCGCTAGAGAGAAAAACCTAGAGAAGTCTGGGAACATAAATGAAGAGCACCACGAACTTCTCACTCTGGCAAGTCCCGTTGACATGGAGACTAGCACATCAAGAACTCGTAGCCTTGATGTGGACCAACTGTTTTCTCAAGAAAAAGGACATGCAAGGTCAAAATCTAGCAATAGTTCTTTGGGATCAGACCCAAGTAGCAGATGGGTTAAACGGCTCAAGTTATGCTCATCAGAACATGCTCTTGGCACGAAGAGTGAAAATATTGGAGAAACCTCGCATGTAAAATTAACTAATATTTTCAGCAAAACTATGAAAGATAGCAAAAATTTGGAAGCCGAAATGGTATATAATGAAGGTCACGCCGAAGGACAGATGGTACTAGAACCACCTCTAGTATTATCAAATGCCGAGTCCTCTTTTACCAAAGCGAAGGAAGCTGTAGAAATTACACTTTCACATCCTTGGATTCAGAGATGGAGTCATAATCGGGCTGCTTGTAATAAAAACAGGCACGAAACAGTTGAGAATCGTGATTCAAAGTCTTCAAACAGTGCGGCAGAAGAGTTAAAAAACAAGCCGTTTCCAAGCGTTGCAGCCATGGCCCTAATGGGAAAGGCAATGAATAGTTTGAATCCCTCCGAGCTTACGAAAAAAGGACCTGTCATTGTTTGGAACATGAAGGGACTTTGAAGTTTTTGGTGACTGCTAATATAAATATCTGAGAAGTCTTGGCATTAATTTGTTAGGAATATATAGTTGTGTACTGGAATTGCATTGTGAAGTGTGTAATGGCTAGGCCATATCCACAACCATGCATTTGTTGCTCATCTTATTAGTGGAGCAACATTTAAATAAAGACATTATGTATGGGACTTACTAGTGGAGCAATATCTAAATAAAATATATTATATGTTTGATTTTGTAACATATATACTTGCAATAAATTGTCATCATTTTGGAAGGAAGGAATTTTCAAAAAGGGATTGAATCATTGAACTTGTTTGGTACTACCCAAGTTATACTGTCAAGTTAAACATATATAAAGTTCATATGAAAAGTGTCCATATGAAACTTCACAAACAACCTTTCATCATTTTATTTATGAGCATCTTGATTTTACATTCACATTTATTTTCATTCTATTTTTACAGTTCAAAAACCAAAATGCTTGTTGGAATACTCTATATTATAGTGCCATCTTCTATTGTTGCCTTCTCCATTACGATTGTGATTCCTGATCGGATGTAAAAACCATCACGAGGTCTATCTGCTTCTTGAACACCCTAAAAAAAAACAATTGAATGGTAATACATAAGATAGATGGATACTTAGGTTCGATTGATCGATGCATAGTTCGTGATGATTTTACGCTATAAAACTGCTAACTAACTGACATCAAATGTAAAATTGAGTCATGCTCACATCTTTGTTCATGATGATGACATCTTTCCCAATCCTAGCATTCTTGTCTATTATACACTTCCTTCAACAAAGACAAGAAACGACAAATATCAAATTAATATTCAATATCCTACTGGTTATGTTATGCTAGATAGTATCTATAGTTTTTGTTAACTTTTAAAACCAACATAATGAATTCAATAGTCTAGTGTTCATCTTGAGTTGTGGTTTGCTGCAAGTAAGATTACCTTATTTTGCTGCTCCTTCCAATTCCAATCGGTACCTTTCCCTCTGCCAGTTCAGAAGCAATTTCGGATTCGGTTTGGTAATAGTCTGCTCCCATCATTATAGTGTCCTGTAAAAAAATGTTTTAAATGTTCAAGGTCTGTAGTAAGGGTGTGCAGGACGGATCACAACACAAAGCGTCTAGTCACGGTTAAACCGTGGCTAACTAAGAAGTGAACACAATTTATAGCCTTGGTTCTATCGTTCTCGGTAAAGAAACTATGGTAATTTACCTGCAGCTCAACGCCATGATCTAAACGTGAACGTTCACCGACAATAGAGTGTTGCACACTACATTCTCTCAGGAAACAGCCATGCGAGATTATTGCATCTACAATCTACAGAAGAGCAACTCAAACGCGGGTAAAAAAGCATCTCATGATACATAGAGGATAAGATCGAACTTCAAAGAGAGATATGATCATAGCCATACCTTGCATTTATCAATCTTTGTTGGAGGTAAGAATCTTGGAGAAGTGAAAATAGGTGTCTTGGGATCATAAAATTTAAACATTGGGCTCTGCAAGAGTAGCATATATTACAAACATTGATCGTTCATGAAGAAAATTTAAATAAGACATTTCTAGTTACTCAATATCTTGATTCTTCAACCTACCTCTTCAGTAAGAGCCATGTTAGCATCGTAAAATGATTGTATTGTTCCAATGTCTTCCCAATAGTCTCCGAAAAAGAACGCCTGAAAGAAAGGTGAAATAGACATTTAACCTGTACTATTTTTATTACCTCCGGAAAGAAAGGAGATATATTTTTTTTTGCCAATTTTCTCTTACTTGGACATTGTATTCCTTAACTGATGCTGGAATGATTTCAGATCCAAAGTCATTGGATGTAGGATACCTCCATTTTAGAAGCTTGAGTAAAACATCGGTCTTGAATACGTAAACCCCCATAGATGCAATAAATGGGGACGTTATTGCATCTTGAGGTGACAATCCAAAAAGTGAGGTATCTACTTGCTGCACATAGGTAACAAGAACGATTAGAGATAAAGCTAGTTAAGAGTTAGTTAGATAAGTTATTCTCGTTATCTTCTTCATTTTCATATAGACTCGGTATATATATAAATAGAGTATTTTGTATCGTTCAATCGATAAAGTTATCAAGAGGCAAGAAACTGAACTGTTTTATTTGAAATTTCATACATGTAAGGACTTACCATAGCTTTAAGATCATCTCCCTTAGGTTTTTCTGAAAATTGGATGATGCGACCTCTGCTATCTACTTTGACTAATCCATAATCCGATGCGCGGCTGAAAACCGGGTTAATGGAAATGAAACTTAGATAAAACTGAATTTGAAATTATGTATGTTTATCAAACAAGAGGAAGAAAATTGTTAAAAGAAGACTCAACAATATTTTTACCTGTCACCAACAGCGGCGCATGATACTGTAATATCTGCCTTTCTGTCAATGTGAGTCTGTTTATATGTTTCAAGATGATCAGAAAACACTGAAAATGAAATGAAGAGATTAAATATTTCAACATATTAAATAAATTGAATACCTGCACAAGATCCATGTAATCCATTCTGTACAGATGATCTCCAGCCAAGATTATTACATTCTCAATGTTTCTGTTCTTTGCATCCTCAAACATCCATGTGAATTGCCTCACAGCATCTGCTGTTCCTTGAAACCAATTCTTCCCGGCTTCCCCTGGTGTTTGAGTAGCCGCAAGAACCTATTGCGTGTTTGGTTCGTATTAGTTTTTAAGAATAATTATATCATTTGCAATTAGCAACCAATTCCTTGATACATACCTCTACGTATCCATCTCCAAAGTTGATGCCATTCCCAAAATAGGTGCGAGAGATATGACGGTTTAGTGACGCCGAGTTGAACTGTGTCAATACAAATACTTTGTTGATGCCGCTGTTGATGCAGTTGCTCATTGGAATGTCTATAAGCCTGTAGCATCCACCAACAGGAACCTGAAAAATGTAAACAGTATTATCTATCATTACCGAATGAAACAATTTCGAAATTTTGAGTCAACAAAGACAATGGTTTGTTTACTCACAGCTGGTGTAGCAGCTCGTTTGGTAAGAGGAAATAGTTGAACACCAGAACCTCCTCCCAATATGATGGAAACAACATTTTTAGGGTCGGCTTTTCTTCTCAAAAAAGATGGAACCTGAAATGTCTGAAGTCGACACGCATATAAAGCACGGACTCAGACACAGACACAAACACTAGACATAGACATGTCAAGTGGCTTTGGCTCGCAAACACAAATTTAAAACCATGATAGAAAATAGATCACATGACATAATTTAGCATACCTTAGTTTCAGTGGCATCATTTGATGTAAGAACAGCAGACACAACACCAGGTTTTTTTACCTTGTTAACCCTCTCTTTGGTTTTCAAACTTATTTCCAACTGATTAATGATCCATGGACTGTAATTCACACCCCCTTTGATTCTCTCACCTAGAAAACCATTATCTTGACGAAAAATATTGTCTTTTCTCAAGTTTGTTACATGGGTATTGGTCTTAAAGTTCACACAAATAGACACCATTGTGATGGTTTCAATGAGGTGAAGAAATGACACAAATTCAAGTCCTTGTAAAGAGCCAAACTATAAAAAAATTGTACTTTGATATTCAAAGTTCAAACTGCAAGCCAATAAAGTGAAGTATACATTATACTGAATTAATTATTTTTTATAAATCATGAAACATAACAGTTGTCAAATATTCAAAGTGACACTAAAATAATAGTAATGAAGTAATGAAGAGAAAGAAAATCTTACTTTGAGTAACGCCAGAATGAAGTAGGAATATGAAAACAGCAACACCAAAAAAGCTGAAGAGAATAATTAAGTGATTAAACAACAATAGATTTAAGCTGAGGTAAGTTGATTAGAATGAGATTTAGATAATTAGAAATTAGTGTTGAAACTTGAAATGTGATCTAGAGTGAGTAGTTGTGAGTTTCCTTTATTGGCTTGTGAGCCAGTGAGAAAGGCTTCACGAGAATGATGGGGAAAATCTTATGGTTTTGGTAATATATCAATTTTGAAAAACTATAGGCAAATTAATAATGTTTATTTGATAGTCCTTATTTCTAGGTTACTCTTATTATACACGGAGAGTCTTTCACAAACAAACACATGTCAATGTATGTTTCTATTGCCAGATAATTTAATAAGTTAAATGAAAATATCTTAAATTTACCAAATAATATTTTAAGTTGATAAAAAGATTATTCGACAAATTTATTTCATAAAAATTGATTTTTTTTCTAACTCTATAAATATATAAATAATATAAAATTTGTATTTTTTCAAATTTAAAGAATATTTGATAATATTTTGAAAGGTGGTTTTAAACACTTCTCATAATAAGACAATAAAAATTTTAATTTTAATTTCAACTCAGTTGTTTCACGGATTTAAAAATCATTCTATTAAGTCTATTTTTTATTTATATATTTGACATTTTAAATTATAATTTTTTTAAATAAAATTTTGAAATAAAATAAAAGTTATCAAATTTGAGTTTTACTTTGTCTCAAAAATTTACTAATTCAAAAATTACACAACTTTCAAGAAATACATTTGAAAGTCTAATTCGAAAACTACTCAATTGGAGTTTAAATTTGTCTCAAATATCCACAACTTCATCTAAATATTTAAGAACCTTACAAATTTAATGAAATAGTACACTAAAAATTACTAGAAATTGATACATTTCCATCACAGAATAATTACACCACTTGCAACCTTCATTATTTTCGTAAATGTTTTAATGCCTCCAATAGAGATGAATCTAAATGCAATTGTCAACTATACTGCCATCACTAATACGGAAGAGGCAATATAGGGTTACGATTTAGAGTAAATCTTTAAACCTACTCTTAAAGAAAATATAATTCTTCTCATATATAACCAAGTTGACTCATGAACCTAATGAGTTGAATTATATATATTCAAGTTCAGCTTATTTAGATAATGAACTTAGTTTTTCGCGCATATTC